TACAACAAAAACCCCCCCAAAAAAAAAAAAAAAAAACAACAACAAAAAAACCAAAAACATCTTTAAATATATAAGTCAAACTCTAAACTGATATAGCATTATATTATCCCTAGATGGTGAGACTGTGACATGTAAATATTTATCAGTAATGGGATTAATTAAGAAAATCAGGGGACCAGCAGCTAGCATAATAGCTATGTCGCTGGACTCCCACGTAGTCGACCGCAGTTCGAGTCCTGGACCCAGTGGCTTAAACTCACGCCGGGCGCGTGTGCAAGATCTCGAGAGGAGAATGGAGGAGAAGGGATTGCGGTGTGGTCATCTCCCCTGGGGGGTGATTTCTTGCTTTTTGTCTCTCTGTCTCTCTCTATCTCTCTGGCTAGCGCACATGCCCTATAGCAAAAACCTCTCCAAAAAAAAAGAAAGAAAGAAAGAAAGAAAATCAGAGCACTTACGTACAATTGTTTATTATGCAGCCATTAATGTATGAGATAGGTGAATGTTGGCTAAGAGAAATAAGGCAGTCTACTAAATGTTACAGTCTCCTGATTTTTTACCAAATATACAACGTGGTGGGAAAGGATGTTCTTTCAAGGTTTTACATATGAATCAAAGTTATCTAAGTATTATTAGTTTACTTAGAAGAAAGGTGTTACTTCTAACAAACCACACTGGACTTAGGGGTATTTTTAAGCACTCCCCTCCTCCCTGGAAAATCAGAGCCAAAAATCTAAAAACTGCATGGTTCAAGTCCCAGACCAGGAGGCATAAAAATCATGCTGGGCACATGTGCCTATGTACCCAAAATCCCAAGAGGAGACTGTGGTGTGATCATCCCCTCTGGGGAGATACCTTACGTTTTCTCTCTGTGTCTGTCTCTCTGGCAGGCATACACGCCCTGAAACTAAAAGCATACATACACAAACTCACACATATATATCGTATATATATTATGGTGTATTATATATAAAAAACATACAATTATATATTATATATATACTATGCTCTATGTTTCACATATATATACATGTTGATAATGTATGACATTAGCCTTTATTTTTCCTGATCACTTTGAACAATTGTAAAATGGGTGAGAAAAGTTTTTATCTTTTGTTAGGTTTCTTTGCTTAATAAGTCAGCATCAAAAATCTAAGCTTTTAGCTTCTAAGTAGAAGTTAGAACATTTTACATCTCTAAAATTTTTATCTTTAACATTAGGCTATAATGTGTTCAATATTTTAAAAAATGATAAAACTTACCTCACAATCAGGGCACATAATTGTGCTGTATTCTTCAGTTATTGACAAGCACAGTTCACAAAAAACATGTCCACACTGAAGTTCACGGTGGTGATCTATTGATAAAATTCTGTTAATATTCAATGAGCAGTATTGATCAAAGGAGAAAAAAAAATTAAAGGAGGTCTTATCATATAGGACATACAGTTCATTCAGAAATAGGTGACAGGGACCAGCAGTTAGCGTAATGGCTATGTTGCTGGACTCCCATGTAGTCGACCGCGGTTAGCGTCCCAGGTCCGGTGGCTTAAAACTCACGCCAGGCGCGTGTGCGTGTGTGCCCAAGATCCCAAGAGGAGAATGGAGGAGAAGGGATTGTGGTGTGACCATCTCCCCTGGGGGGTGATTTCTCGATTTCTGTCTCTCTGTCTCTGTCTGGCGAGTGCATATGCCCAATAGCAAAAAAAAAAAAAGAAAGAAAGAAATAGATGGCATACTAAACAAAATTCAGGAAAAACTATACAGGTCAGACGGAGGGGGAAAATCAAGAAAACCAGGCTAGGCTGTTTGTATTAATTGAGATAACTTTTTTTCTTTAGAGATTTTTGCTATAGGGTGTGTGTTTTTGCCAGAGAGACAGAAAAAGAAAGAGAGGAAATACCCCTCCAGGGGGGATGGCCATGCCACAATCCCTTCTCCTCCATTTTCCTCTCAGGATTTTGGGCACACACACGTATTCACCCAGTGTGAATTTCATCAGGTCCAGTACTCGAACCACTGTCAGCCACTTGGTAGTTCAGAGCCTTAACCACTATCCCACCTGCTGGTTGGGATAGCTATTTTGTACCTGTAATATTTTGAATTTGTCAGATCTTATAACCACACAAAGTGCTTTGACATGTTTCATTTGCTCTTTATAATTTTCATGGCCAAGTAGACTTGAAATACTGTATCTAAGTTAGAGATTAAAAACAAAACAAAACAAAACAAAAAACTTCTTGGTGATTTAACTAATTAAATAATTTAATCTAAACTCCAATCTGATTCTGTTTCCAAGTTCAATGCTTTTACTACCTGATCATATTGCCCTCTACTAATTTATATTTCCCTTCCTGTAAAGTGGTCAGAAAGGGCTAAAATTAGACTTTGGCAACCACTCTCTTAAAATAATGTAAGATGTTGGCAAGGGCAGAAGACACTGCTACTACTGTCTCATACACATGGCACCCACAGAGAACATTTTTCACAAACTAGCATTAGTGAAAGGAAATACCATTAAAAACCTATTACCAAGATTTAAGTACCCTACATAGAACCTGAAGTTTACCATAAACTACATATGTGCCTTAGCTATACAACTTCAGAAAGCTGTCATGTTGAAAGATATTTCTTTTTTGCAAGAAGACAAGTAAAAAGGAAAAAGAAAATAGATTTTAAAAAGATCAGTAATCTTTAGGGCTGATGTGGTGGTTAAGGCACTGAACTCCCATGTGGCTGACCACAGTGGTGGCTTGAAAATCATGCCAGGTGCGTGTGTGTGCATGCCCAAAATTGCCAGAGAAGAATTGATAGGAGGGCAATTGCTGTGTGGTCACCCCTCTCTTTGGGAGGAGGGTGATTTCTCACTTTCTCTCTCTCTCTCTCTCTCTCTGGCAAGCATATGCACCCTAGTGTTAAAATCAGTTATCTTTTATTAGAAAACAAATGATAGCATTCTTGCTAAATCAAAATTGCATTAATTTGGTTTTTTAAAATAATTCACAATTTTTTTAGCCAAATGAAATGTGCACAACTTCTCTAAACCATACTAAATTTTATAGCCCTATTTAAATTCCAGAGATAATATTACCAAAGAAATAAAAACTCTTTTAACTTTTTGTAAAATTTCTGATACTGGGTAAGTCAAAATAACCTGTGGTGCATTACACCTTGCAATGCCCTTTCATAATTATTTATGCATAATATTTTAATATTTAATTAATTAATTAATTAATTAATTTTTTTATGTTTTAAATTTTTTAAATTTATTTTGTATAATCCCATATGGATCAGAGAGAGGAACAGAGAACTCACCCCCAATAAAGCATGGTCATACTATAATCTCTTCAACATTTCTTCATCCTATGGGAGTTTGGGGCACATAGGGATATATGACCTGTTTCCCAAACCAGCAGGGACAGGATTTGGTGCTGTCAGTTATATGGGATCAGGCTCCTTAACACTCAGAATCAGCGAGCCCTAAGAACTTTCTGAAGAAGCTATTCATTTGGATGACACAAGCCATCTCTAATTATTAGAATACAATGACACGTTGATGGCCCTTGTTCTGCAGGAGACCTCCAGTTCCATCTCTAGGCTCCTGGCTACCAAGGGAAACTGAGGCAGGGGGGCACCACTGCCCCCACATGTCCTCTGTCAAATATGAAAACCGAGAAAAAAGGCTTTGTGAAATACAGAGGTGCAGAATAATTACTGGAGGGTTGGAAGGATGGGGCAGGAGAAGAAGGATGCTCCATAACAAAAAAATTGCAGTAGATTGAAGGAACAGGCTCTAGTGTTGCAATACACAGTGAAGAGAATATGGTTAACAACAACTTATGTGTATCTGAGAGAGGTTAAAAAAGAGGATTTTGTATTTCCCAAACAAATGCATATACTAATCACCCTGATTTAATCATTACACATCATTATTGATGTACTAGACTCACACTGCAGCCCCATAAACATGTACAATTACTACATATAAGAATTTTTTAATTTATTAAATAATTAATTCTATTCATCATTATTGTTACTTTTTTGTTTTGTTTTATTTATTTTACATTTTTTAATACATTCAATCACATTATTTAGCTTACAAGGTAATCATTTCAATATAAGAACATTTCACCCCGGTCGAGTTGATAAAAATATAACAACACTACCTCCCTGTCTCAACAATGCTGTCTTCGTATCCCTACCCCAAATGTTCTTCTCTAGGTCCCACTCCTCCACACACAGCACATCTGGCATTCACACCCACCTCTTGTGTTTGTACATCCTTTAGCCCGTCAGTTTCAGTTATAGAGTGTGGACATTCGGTATATATTAAGTGGGGACATACAGAGTCTCTCCTTCATAGCCTGGCTTGCTTCACTCAGCAGTAAATCTTCCATATTTTTCCACTTTCTGTCAAAAGCCAAAGTTTTGTTGTT